CCCAAAGACTTCCCCCAGATCCATAGCCTTTTACAGGTGTGTATGATAAGGATGGCAATCGTTGGGAAAACTACTTAGGAGAAAGAACTTCCTATTACTCTCTTTCTTGCTAGATCTAGGCCACCTTGGTGCTTACTATCAAAGAAGGAACAAGAAAGATCTTATGAGACAGTTAAGGCCTCTATGGAGAAGAGTAAACGATTATGTGAAAGGGTTACAGAAAAGACACTATAAGCTTAAATTTGATATATGGCCAGATTTAACTAAGTATACTGAATATCATGATTTTTGGCCACAAATTGGGGACCCTCTAACAATGGCAAAGAAGCACAATTGCTTAGAAAAGATTTGAAACATATAAAGTATAAAACTAAACAAAAGTAACAATGAAGTACTAGAGTTCATGCCTTTCTGTTCAGCACCTTGCCCATATGCTCTGGTTAATGGTTAATAGGTGATAAACATCGAAACCAATTGTATTTCTTAAAAATAGAGGTAAAGCCTGGAACAAGTGCCTATCATCATAGCTTGTCATCCAAAAAACAAGATCAGGTGGCCAGCCTGTGACCACCCAAGAACGAAGCCTTGCAGCAAGATTGTGTAACCTTTTGCCCTTTCTCATGGAGACTTTTTCTATAAAAGCTTGTTATCCTCTGCATTAAATCGCACTCAGCATCCACTCCTCTTGTGTGTGAGTTGTCTGTTTGCCATCTCCCCACCTATTCCAGTTCCTCCACTAGGTGTCCTCCGTCGTCCTGACAGAGCCGGTCCGCGGCAAAGCGGCAAAAGCTCTTACCATGCTTCCCCAAAAAGGGAGACATATGTATTAAATAAGAAAATGCTGCCATCTAGAACACAGATGGTAATGAATTGTTTGGAAGAGAAGATTAAGGCGTTTTACTGATTTACTTGGAAAACTAATCTGATGAATGTTAAAGTTATATACATATAGTATATATATAAAGTTAAAAAATATTGCTGTTTTACAATATTTCTTTCTTTTGTTTTTTTGCCAGTACTGGACCTTGAACTCAGGGCCTGAGCACTGTGCCTCAGCTTTTTCACTCAAGACTGGTGCTCTAACCACTTAAGCACCGATCTACTTCTGGCTTTTTGGTGGTTAATTAGATATAAGATTCTCACAGACTTTCTTGCCTGGGCTGGCTTCAAACCATGATCCTCAAATCTCAGCCTTCTGTGTAGGTAGGATTACAGGCTTCATCACCAATGCATACCTTTCCTTTTTCTTTTTTTTCCTCTCACCCCCGCCCCCAATCTAACCACCCTATTTCTATCTCATTAGAGCATAGAAAGGGATTAGACTGTGATTATAAACAAGAACTAAGAGAATCAGGGATAGTAATGAAAGAACTAGAAAGAAGGTGATGACATTTTATAGTAACTAAGCATGTTGCTTGTTATCTGTGGATAAAAATCAATACAAAGAGGTAATGACTGTGTAGAGTACATGTGGTTTTAATATGATCCATAGAGTCACTAGCTGTGACTAGTGCCTAGTTCACTGTTTACTGTTCACGTCTTAAATTAAACAAAGCAGAGCACCTAGATGATGTGAATGCCCTTATTCTTAGACTAGTTGTTCTTGGCAGCTGCACTGTAAAACCACGTATCAGCTTGTGTGTGTACTTTATACACACCTGGATTCTGTTCAAGGATATCCTGATGCTAGGCACTGGTGGTCCATGCCTGTAATTTTAGCTACTCATGAGGCAGAGATATGAGGATTTTGGTTAACTTTGGTTAACTTTGACTCTGGTCATTATTATTTGGGAGGAAGGTTTGGGCCATCCTGGAGGTGAAACTCAGGGCCTCATTGACTATTGGTATGTCTGGTTCGACAGTGCACAGTTGGAGCCACCACACCCCAGCCCTTGACAAGCAATTATTGATAAAGTGACTGGAATTGTCTTTGCCTCTGTCATCCACCTTTTCAGCTGGTGACAGCAGGTCTGATAACAGCACACAGAGAGGGAGTGGGAACCACCCTTGAAGAACTCACTCTTGTAATCAGCACTCCCCAGGGCAGTCCCATTCCCCTCAGCCCACATTACTGCAGCTGGGCCTGAGTCTCATTAGCTCTGTCTCTAGTGTCTCTGTGTGGGAAGTCACTGTGAAGAGGTCCAGTCGAGTCTCCCCACTGGATCCTGGCTTTGGTTTTAGTGCCTGTCCTAAGGCTTGAACTTGGGGCCTGGATGCTGTCCTGAGCTCTTTTTGCTCAGGGCTAGTTCTCTACCACTAGAGCCATCAGCTTTTTGGTAATTAATTGGAAACAAGAGTCTCAAAGCCTTTTCCTGTTCAGACTGGCTTTGAACCACAATCTTCAGATCCCAGCCTCCTAAGTAGCCAGGCTAAGGCCCTGGTTTTGATATATATCTGAACATATTCAGAGCCATAGGATTTGGTTATCTTGTGCTGATGATTTCTATCCTTGCTAGTAAAATTTGTAAAACAAATTAAAAAAAAAATTGCACCAGGCCAGGCTAAAATCCAGAGCATATTCTTTAACTGTGCTATGCAACCTACTAAACATGCATGAGCTTGCTTTTCCTTCTCTTTCCCGTGAAAATAAACAATCCAGTCAGGTGCCCGTGCTCATGCCTATAATCCTAGCAACTCAGGAGGCTGAGATCTGATGATCACAGTTCAAAGCCAGCATGCAGGAAAGTCCATGACACTCTTAACTCCAATTAACTACCAGAAAACCAGAAGTGGCACTGTGGCTCAAGTGGTAGAACACTCACCTTGAGCTGAAGAGCTGAGGGACAGCGCCCATGCCCAGAGTTCAAGCTTCATGACCAAAAAAAAAAAAAAAAAAAAAAAAAGAAAAGAAAAGAAAAGAAACAATCCAAGAAACAGACCCTGGGCCTTTTCAGAGCCAGATGCTTACTGACTCACTGGGTTGGCTGTTTCTGCTAGTTGATGAGCATGGCACCCAATATTCCAGCCTGACCAGGTGAATGCAACACACCAACACCCCAGATGTACTTGGCTTAATTATGTACCCATACCACACATACTGCAGTGGATGGCTCAATAATGTCTGTTCAAACTACAACCAGTCTGGAAGCTATTACAGTCCCTATTTTTAAAAAGTATTCATTTCTCTTAAGTAATTACAAAGAGGTTTCAATTCCAGAAGTCAAGTACAATGCATCATGATCAATGTCACTGCTTCCATCATTCCCACCTATCTTTCCCCACTCAGTCCCTACACTCAAGTTATGTAATTCAATTTTTGCATAATGAATCCTAAATGCATCATTTTTAAAAAGTTATATATTGTTGGTCATCTGTGTAGCTGACCATACATAATTGAGATTTTCTTTGTTTCAGACAGGATTTCCATACATAATTGCCCACTGAAGTTATGGACTATCCATGAGGCAGTCATCAAAATTAAAAATACTGTTCCAGCGGTTCTTACAAAGAAAACAAATCTCTTGTCTGCAAATTTATGTTGTAGTAACTAGTTTTTACTTTTCAGTGAACTGCTCCTTTTCCTTGTCACTTTCTTCTGTGAAAGAGGAGAAGTTAGGTTGCTCCATAGTCTTTTTTAAGTGTTTTATATAATTTTTTTGTAAATGCATAAAAGCAATGTTCTATTGCTATCTGTTGCTACAAGATATTAGTAGCCATTTACAAAACCAAAACCAAAAACCATTATGCATAAGTGTAACCCCTCTGTACAGCATCTTTACAATAAAATAAAATACAAAACAAAAAACCATTACAGGAACTTTTGAAAAAAGGTAATCTAATTCTCCAAAACCATTTCAAAAAGATCTTGTTATGCCTGGGCATCAATGGCTTGTGCCTGGAATCCTAGCTCCTCCAGGAGATGATCTGAAGCTTACAGTTCAAAGCTAGAAGATCTCCAAATTAATCATCAAAAAGCTGGAAGTAGAGCTGTGGCTCCGATGGTAAAGTACTACTTTTGAGTAAAAAAAGCTCATAGTCAGCACCCAGGTCCTGAGTTTAAGCCACAAGAAGGACACAAAAGATCTTCTGTATATTTACAGTTTCCAGACAGTTTTAGTGGTACAGGCAGGCCTGTAATCTCAGCTATTCAGGAGGTAGAGGTAGGAGGATCTTGAGTTCAAACCAGCCTAGTCTAAAAGTTGTTGAGATCCTATCTCAAACATAAAATACAAACAAAAGAAAGAACAGACAGGATGGCTCAAGTGACAGAGTGCTTGGCTAATAGCTAGGAGGCCTGCTCACGTTGTTGTTGTTTTTTTTTAAGTAAAAGCTCAAGAGTAACGCAAATGTCATTTTCACTTTTCATTATAAAGACATATTTTAACATTAAATATCTGACCTGTCTACACTGTCTGCACTGTAAAATCTATGTAGTAGCTGCTTGGGTAGAAAGCAAAAACAACCAAATACCTGTCTACACTGTCTGCACTGTAAAATCTATGTAGTAGTTGCTTGGGTAGAAAGCAAAAACAACCAAATACCTATCAGTTACTTTTTTTTAAGTTCTGATAATAGAACTCAGTACTTTTCCTATGTTAGGCAGGTGCCCACCACTGAGCTACATTCCCAGTCCCTTAAGATACTTAAGAGACAGTTTAGCCTTGTCTCCATATCCTCTCTGAAGCAACTTTATTTCGCCTAAAAATGTAATCTTCATTGAGATAAAGAAGTGGACATTGAGAATGAATCAACTTTGCTTTGTTGTTTGCTTGGGTTTTGAATTCAGGACCTTGCACTTGTTTGGCTGGTGCTCTGCCATTTGAACCACACTGCCAACCTGGCTTTTTGTTGCTTATTTTGGATCTGGAGCTTGATAGACTTTTCTGCCTATGATAGTATTGAACTGTGATCATCTGGATCTCAGTCTCCTGAGTAGCTAGGACTACAAATGAATGTACTCAGGGTTTTGTGGGTTTGGATTTTTTTTCCCCCACACCTGGCTGGATCCATTTTTTAAGTAACAATCCTGCCTTGGAGTTTCTTGACCAATTATAACGATTACTGAAATCAACTTCCTATAAAGATAAGATAAACAAGGCTGTCTACATGAGCTGAGTAGATGGCAAGGTTTACAAGAACAGGAGCTAAATAATGTTGCGGTGTAGGAGACCAGGAAGCAGAATGACCTTGAATTAAGAGTGGAGAAGGGCTTTGTCTCTAATAGGCAAACCCTGTTTCAGATGGTAAAACAATTTTATAGTATCAATTCACACATGACAGTAACTTTTTTTGTTACATTTGGATAGAATGCAAAAGGGCACAAGGTAGCTGGATAGGCAAAAGTCCTCTCTCTTACACAGAGAAAGGTCCTTTACCCACTACCGCCTCCCTTCAGGGAGTGGTCCCAGAGGTTAGGGGGGAGCACAGCATCAGTGACTCAGTGTCTTCCAGTGCAGTGATGGGTGCGCCCATTTTCCCAAAGCCAAAGGGAAACCAGACATATAGATTCAAATAAAATATAAACCAAGGGAAGCAAGTTTCCTTATAATCTTGACAGATTTGAAAGATTAGCCTTGACATTAAATATATCCTTGGTGTATTACTATTTCAATACATGCAAAGCTTCCCAGGAAATTCAAATTGCCTAAAACACTCTTCTGTTAGCCCCGGAAGGACTACCATTATTATTATTTGTGTCAGTACTACGGCTTGAACTCAGGGCCTGAGCCCTATCCCTTAAGCTTTTTAACTCAAGGTTATCATTCTATTACCTGAGCCACAACTCTGCTTCCAGTGTGTGTGTGTGTGTGTGTGTGTGTGTGTGTGTGTGTGTGTGTGTGTGATTAATTGGATATATAAGAGTTTCACAGACTTTCCTTCCAGGCTGGCTTCAAACAGTGATCCTCATATCTCAGCCTACTGAGTAGTTATGATTATAGATGTGAGCGCCATCAGCACCTGGCTCTGAAGCTTTTTTTTTTCAGTTGTGGATCTTGAATTCGGGGCCTTGATACTGTCCCTGAGCCTCTTTGTCTTCAAGGCTAGCACTCTACCACTTGAGCTACAGCACCACTTCTGGCTTTTCAGTGATTAATTGGAGATAAGAGTCTCATGGGGATTTTTCTGCCCAGGCTGGCTTTGAATTGCAATCCTAAGATCTCAGCCTCTTGAGTAGCTAGGATTATAGACATGAGTCACCAATGTTTGGCAATAATAGAAAGTTTTGAAGACATACACAATACAGAAATGCTGAGCTCATTACCTAGCAGTCCCCACTGGCCACATTCAGTAGTTACCAACCCATGGCCATTCTCCTCACATCTCTATCTCTGCCCTTTGCCCTTCCCAGGTTATTTTGAAGCAAATTCCAGACTTCATTTATAAATCAAGCATGGATCTGAAGTCCTTATGTAACCACCTCTAGAAAATGAATTTCTGATTAGGGTACTTCAATTGCTCACTAATTCCCCTACAGTGTGAGTGCTTAATTAGAGTTCTTCAAATGGGAACAGCCCCTAGGGTGTAGATTAAAGCTAATCTATGTGTCCACATATTGGGGACTAGTCATACTAAAGTAGTTGAAAGTGAATCACCATACAGACCCCCTAAACACTGTGAAACTCAAATGACTGAGAACTACTGGGTTTTGTTGTATGACTAGCAGAGGCTTAATAGAGAAAGCACTCAAGAGTTGACACTTAGGTTTTGTTCTTGGAAGAAGAGAGTTATGGAGGGGGGAAAGGTATTTTGTGGAGAAAGATGGAGACTTGAAGATGGTGTTGACTTGTGGACTTTAACTGCACATTCATTTTAATGGCTGTTCTTGTGGAAATGTGTTCAATGCTTTTGTGCTCACCTAAGAGAATTCTCTCAATGTGGGAAGAGTTCAGAATGACCTCGGGGGGGATAGAGAGAGGAAAAGGTGACACAAGTTGACAGAGAGAGGGTCAGGCCTTCACTCCTGCCATTAAGTCACAATCCTCTTTCACATAAGAGGTAAAAGAAAGGCTGTGTCTGCTACTCTCTTGGGCAGGGGAGGTTTTAAATCCCTTGTACCACTGAATCTTTTCATACTCTGAAATTTATGGATTCCCTTTCAGAATAATGTAGTGATTTTTTTTTTTTTTTTGTCAGTCCTGCGACTTAGGGCCTGTGCCTTTCCCTGAGCTTCTTTTGCTCAAGGCTGGTATTCTACCATTTGAGCCACAGGGTCACTTCTGCCTTTTTCTGTTTATGTGGTGTTGAGGAATCAAACTCAGGGTTTCATGCATGATAGGCAAACACTCTACCACTAAGCCACATTCCCAGCATCCTTTTTTCTTTGTGTATTGGTTCTAGGACTTGAACTCAGGGCCTGGGTGCTGTCCTTGAGCTTTTTAGCTCAAGGCTAGCACTCTAACCACTTTGTGCCACAGCTGCAGTTATGGTTTTTGAGTGGTTAAATTGGAAATAAGAGTCTCATGGGGATATTTCTGCCTGGTCTGGCTTTAAACCACATCCTCAGATCTCAGTCTCTTAAGTAGCTAGGTTTACAGTTGTGAGCCAGAAAAGCCTGGCATTGAAATCATTTTCTTAAATACATAAAATATACAGGATTACAAAAGAAGCCCATTATGTTGCAATACAGTTACCAAAGTATTTTAAACATGTGGTGCAACAATAAAAATTGTTAATCTTAATAAGATCTTGTGGAATGTATAATTACTATAATTTCGAAGTGGGAATGAATATAAACTATATTTTGAGATATCTGTAACGACTCTAAGGTGATATAAAAATAAGTAACTTCTTTTTTTTTTTTTTTTTTTTTTTGTCGCTTGAACTCTGGGCCTGGGCGCTGTCCCTGTGCTCTTCAGCTCAAGGCGAGTGCTCTACTGCTTGAGCCACAGCGCCACTTCTGGTTTTCTAGTGGTTTATTGGAGATAAGAGTCTCAACGCCTCTTGTGACTAGTCTGGCCACATTGGGCAGGTACAATGACAACTTACTGTGCTCAGGAGTCCAGGAGAGAGACAGAGGTCTCTTGGAAGAGGGATGCCTGAAATACAAATGTATATAGATAGAGATATGTGTATATATATTTGATTTGAAATCAAAGTGAACTTGGATCTTAGTATGGTGGTACACAATGGAGATTGTGGGCGAACTGTCCCTATTATTCTCTCCATCTTGCCTTGGGGTCAATCTATGTTACAGCATGAGATGCCCTTCACTCCTCAACACACGTACACTCAGTTCTTTCCTATGAGCCTCTTTCTGGGGTTTGAACTCAGGGCTTTAGGTACTCTGGTAGAACCATACCTCCAAGTTCTTTTTTGGGGTATGTGTATGCAGGTCCTGGAGCTTGAACTCGAGGCCTGAGCATACATTATAAAGTAAGTAGAGGAAGTGGCTCTGTGACTCAAAGTGGTAGAGTACTAGCCTTAATCACAAAAGGTCAGGGACAGCACTCAGGCCCTTAGATCAAGCCCCATGATTGACAAAAAAAAAAAGTTTTGTAAGTATAGATTGTATTCTATTAAGTACTTTTATATATTTATTTACTCAATTCTGGAAACATGTTAGTCTACTTCTCTACATGAAAGGATGATTTTATACTGTGACTCAGGTTTCTTCAAAATTAATAATTTAATTTGAGTGACAATAATAAAAATACTTTGAAATTTATTGAATTTTTCTTCATAAATATAGAAATAATACAAGCAATTAATGGAGAGTATCTTTCAGATATATGAGAGAAAGTCTTAGGAGCACTTAGAATTCAATCATATACGTACTTATAGAATTGAATTCTTTTTCTTGTGCTCATTGTTGTACTGAAAGTACTGAAGAGTATATATCCATATACTTGTTGAAAACCTCACTGATAAAAGAAAAATCTTTCTGGTCCAAGTGGTACTGGAGGGCTGGGATGTAGCTCAATGGCAAAGCATTTGCCTAGCAAATGCAACGTCCTATATCCTGGGTTTGATTCCCAGTAAGTGGTATTGTAGTTTGGTATTGGGGCCTCATGCTGGCTGGGCAGGCACTCTACTACCTGAACCACACTGCCAGCACTTCTTGCTTTGGGTTTTTGACTTTTTTCTCTGACTGGCCTGGGCTTCACTCTTCCAAGTGAGGTTTCCTGATATAGCTGGGAGAACAGGCACACCCAGCCCTGTTGAAATGGGTCTTGAACCCAAAAATGAACCCACAGACCTGTCGCCACCTAATCTTCAATAAGGGAGCTAAAAACAAATAGAATGGAAGAAAGACAGCCTCTTCAGTAAATGGTGCTGGCAAAATTGGCTAAACACCTGTAGAATCAACTGCACCAGAATCAACTCCAAACGGATCAAAGACCTGAAAACATTACAAGAAGGAATAGGAGAAACTATAGGGCTCCTTGGCACTGGCCAAAATTTTCTTAATAAAGACCCAGAAACACAGCACATCAAAAGAAAGGTTGGAAAAATGGGATTGCATGAAACTGCAGAGCTTCTGTATGGTAAAGACATAGCTAGCAAGATCAATAGAAAAAAATAGAAGATCTTCACTAGCCATACAACAGACAAGGGTCTCATATCTAAAATATACTGAAATGGAAGGTAGGAAGAAGAGTTGGACCAACTGATTTCTAATGTTGTTTCAGCTCTAAATTTAGTTCCAAGTCCTTGGCATGGCTTTATTTTTTTGTTGTTTTGAGTAACTCTGACCAGTAATTGAAGATTGGAGGGTGAACTATGGCTGTATTGTCTTCTTTTCTGCAGGAAAGTCTGGCATGGTTTGAAACTGAAGAACACACAAAAGTCTAGGCTAGAAATTTCAAAGTGTAGAAATCCCCTCACAAGTAAGTTTTCTCTTTTGAAAGGAAAGTTTTCTCTTTGTTTGGTTTTGTTTTTATGGGGAGTGATTAGTGACACCATTAATTTGGTTGCATTTGAAACCCTTCTCTAACAATCAGATGGCAGTACTTGTGCCTTGTAACAGTTGCCTAATCCCTTCCAAGTACCAAAGCCATGCCTCTGGGGCTGCCTGGGCAGGCATCTCCCCAGAGAATCCAAATTTTCCCTCCTCAACAGGAAGGTCAAATG